GTTATCTTCTTCGTCACCTTTTTCACCAGTAGAAACAGCCGGTTGTTGATCACATGACTCCCGTGATGCGAAAAACATGTTTCCATTGCAGCTTTGCGAAAAACACCAATTTCTATACAGCTGAAAAAACACCTCATCCTAGCGCAAAAACATTTAGTCGAAAAACGTAATTTTTTTTCGAAATTGACGTGTTTCCATTGAGCAAATTTATTTTCAAAATTCTAATTTGCGCATTTTTGTGGTCAMTGGAAATGCAGCTATAGAGAACTGCATTTGTTTTTCACATTTCATCTTCATCCATCTATCAAGTTTTATTTAAAAATCAATACAGTATCAGGAAATTGAATATTGTGATGTTTCAGAGCGTCGTTGTTTTCTTAAACTTCTAATACAAATGTTATGTTGGCTTTTCTTTGCTCAAAGTTTTCAGTATCTTTCTGGCTTTTTGATTTCCTTCTAAAGTCAAACAGACCTAAAAACATCCTTATTGGATGTTAAAACAGGCAAAGTAAAAGGTCTGCCGCTTAAAGTTTTTTTTACATTTTTTCAAATACAAGAAGCAAATTCTTTTTTGAAATGTAGGTTGATTTAATGTGGAAAAGCAATAAATATTACGGGACATATCACTGTTTGGTTTAGTTTTGCAGAGAAGCAGCTCTCTTTGCGCGCATCTAAACCGGTGAGCACGGTGCCACCGACGGCACCATCAGAGGAGGAGGGTGTTCCTGCGAGGTCCTGACGCTCGAGGAGCAGAGATGGAGCTGAGGTTACGATAACAGATTCAGGGTTCAGTGGTTATTGCAGTTGATATAACAGTTGCATAACCCTCCAGTCGGGGCATGTCAGTCACGTTTTTCCCATCCGGCCAAACTCTGTTTTCTGTTGCAATGAGCTGCATCACCGGAGCTGATAAGTGCACAGCTCTGTGCCAAGAGGCCCAGTGTGGTTCTCAGCCCAGGAGGAGTGTCTGATAACCTTTTGAACTCTTTGTTTCAGTTTTTTATTGACTTTAAAAGTGAGTTCAACATTTCCCAGTGGGATTTTGGGGCGGAGCTTGTGGATCTATTTTCAATAACATGATTGATTTTGATTCTTTGATTTTGAATTTCGGCCTATGTTACTGTTTTTCATCAGTGGACAAAAGACATTAGTGCTAAAGGCACGGATATAACAGACTGTTTTAACCAATCAGAAACAACATTTAAGACTTCTGTTTAATATTCTTTTAGTCATTGGAAATATTGAACTTAATCCAGGTCCAGATAAAAGTGTTTTTATGTCTACTTTTTTATATTTTATGGGATTTTATACATATGTTTTTATTAATTATCTTGACCTGTGTTTGTTCACAGGTGTATCTTATATAAATCCAACTCAATTCCAGTCTACACAGGGATCTATATTATATCCTGAAAAGGTTAGACAACCTCCTGTTATGTCAAGTCCGAACACTACATCAGTAAG